AACTATACTCTGGGGTATTTGTAAGTTTCTGTTGCCCGTATGATGCAACTTCTGTGTCTATAAGTTTATTGAAAGTATTTTTTTCTTGAAGGATTAAATTATGACGTACATAAATGTTCCTCTGACATAATTATGCTGCTAATAAGACCACGCAATTTTATAATTCAGGTTTAGGGTTTGTGACCTCCGTTACTTTTATTTTCTTGGTTGGAGTGTTTATGTCTTCATGGTTGGGGGCTTCTGTTCTGAGCCTTGGAGAGTGGTTTATCAAGCGTATGCCATTTGTTCGTCATATTTACAACGCCTCTAAGCAAATTAGTGCTGCTATATCTCCAGGTAGGCTTGGTTTTCCCAAATGTAATTTCATCCAGAAGAGTGTTCTTGTCATGGATGGGTAATCATCTCTTTCCCTTTACTACTGCAGATCAGAATACCCAGGCATTCAAGGAAGTTGCAATAATAAGGCATCCACGTATTGGTGAATATGCATTTGGGTTTATCACTTCATCTGTTGCCCTCCAGGTTTTTCATGTTCTGCATATTTTGGTCTATCATTCTTCGCCTTTTATACACCACCTCATGTTAGTTTATTTGAAACATGGTGATCTTTTGTGCACCTAATTGTTCTAAGCCTATTTGTCTATACATAATTGTTCCCCCATGTTAGTCTTGTTGACTCTTGTGATCTTTTGTTCACCTTACTCTGACCTTAATTGTAGTGTGGAATTGTATCATTCATATAGTGGTTTTGTGTAGATTAAGTCGGCTGTTGTCTTTAATGAGTTCTGAGAGATTTACTTAAGCGTAGGCAGGCAGGTGACGTGGATGATTAATCTAGATGGTGCTGTAACAGCATTCATTTAGCAGATTATGTTATCTGATTTGACATGAAACTCTGTTCTCATCCTCAAAGATGCTGACTATGCAATGGGAGACACGAGTAGAAAAATATGGTTTATGCTTTGTAGTAGTAAATGTCATCATTTATTGGTTGATTTCACTGTTAAGAGGTAAACTAAGTCTTGCAATCTTGGAAACATCTCTCTCTCTCTCTCTCTCTCTCTCTCTCTCTAGCTTCTGGATTGATCTAATTGTGTACTGAAATTAAAATATGAGACCTGATAAACTTGTAGACAAAGGCTAGCCTGTTTACAATATACATTTTATTTATAGAATCATTTTCTCGTTCCCTTTCCAGAGTTACACTGGAGAAGAAGAACTATACTGTGTGTATGTCCCGACGAACCATCTATATATCGGTGATATATTTCTGGTCAATGCTAAAGACGTTATTCGACCAAACTTGTCAGTCCGAGAAGGGATAGGTAAGTAGACTGCCACTTTTTTGTCATTCAAGAAATACCAAATTGACAGTAGAATCAAGTTTAAAGACATCAATTTATGAAGGTGCCACCATTATACCTGGTACACCTTGGAAACCTTTATTTTCTCTCAAAGTTGAAATTTCCGCATTCCCATATACTGACCATTCTAATCGTTAATCTCTCTTTAAGTGACACACATCCTTGCTCCCTTGTGTCATTCTGTAACCACATATTTTTCATCTTTTGAGCAACTCCACACATAGCATTCTCTGAGTTTTAAGCAAGTATTGTTAACGTAGTGAGAAATAATTTAATTAGTTTCTAACATCCCTTGACGTTTACTATTTATCAGATGATATGCATAAGTTTGTGAATACAGTCAAATTTCATGTTCCAATGTCTCCTTTCTTGGATGTTTGCAGAAATTGTGGTGTCGGGTGGCATGTCGATGCCCCAAATCCTATCTACATTGGATCGAAGAATTCCTCAGATGGATAGAATCAGACCTGAGAGAAACTGAGATATTTTCAATATATATAATTTTTTTTTTCTTTTTCCGCTGATCAGCTTCCGTTCCTATTTTCTCATTGGCATGTTCGTTTAGGTTTACTAGTTGTAATGGCGCCATCTTGGAAATGTAATTTGAATCATTTAAAAGGATGCTTGGAGTAAGATTTTTTGGTTTTGTTTGGTTAATTTTTAAAAAATATGGTATGGGTAATTGTTAGTGAAATTTTGAATTTATATTAAAATAATATTTAAAATATAATAATTAAAGATGTGATGTGAAGTGATGGTTAAATTCATGTGACTGGATGAATAGTGAAATAAAGTTTAAATAATGTGTAAGAATGATTGATTGATATTATTCGAACCAGCGGCAAGCAAAGATCAAAGCCGGGATCTAGAAACTCCCTTCAGAATTGATGACTAACTAAAAGTCGGACCACAATCTGCTCACCGTCCCAAAGGAAGCTCCTTTGAGACCACCAGGAAGAGACGCATCGACCCTGACCCCGAACAATCCGGCGACNTTTTTGTGTTAACTTCATATCATTATATGTGTTAATTGTAAATTTAATTTAATATTTGTAAAAATATAAATACATTTTCTAATATTAAAATTTAAAATAATTCTTACAAAATAACATTATTTAATGATACACCTCACATGTCAAATTTGAATGCACTGTGTTAAAAAATTTTTTTAGTATTTATAATGTATAATAGACTTGATTCATAAATTTATTGTTTTTCAGTCATAGTTAATATATATTTAATCTTTTATTGATAGGGAGATGATTGATATAATTTTTTTTAATTATATATAAGATATTAATGTCAAACTATAGATCGTCAAAATATGATTAGTTTAATTTATAATAAATAAAAATTGATAACAAATATAAATGTTATTAACTTTTAAAAATATTTACAATTTAAGTTAGCCAAGGGTTTAAATTTGAAAGTTCTAATAAACATGGAAAAAAAAACTCTACATTTATATGTAAGAAGATAACCCATAAGGAACTCTTCATAAAATGACATAACCTAAAATGATGACAGTTAGGCTTTTTTTTTCAATTAATAAATTTTATTTCAAAATGAATTGTTTACATATAACTTATACAAAAAATTATGAAAACGGGATTGTATAATATTTTTTGTATATTTATTAATAATAATTAAAACATGAAATCAAATAACCAGATCTCATTTTCCATTTCAGTTTTTAGCATCAATTCAAAGACATATTGAATAGGGAACCCATCAAGACTCAATTGATTCAACAATTTATTTAATTATTAATATAAGTACTTTGTGCAATATGGTTAAAAAAAATTTCAACTATTTTTTGCCCTGGCTCGTAAAAATTTCTGGATCCGCCGCTGCAACGGATCAAACACCTTGCTCGACACTGCCAGATGGAGCCGCCGTGGACAACCGTAGCCTGCCGCCCGCAACACCTAGGGAAAAATGCCACTCGCGGAAGAAAGAGCCGCAGCGTCGCCAGAAGACCACCTCCCATCCTGGTGCTGGTCGAAATCGGACGGGTGCGGTGAGAAGGCTCTCCAATTTACCGAGAGAAGAAGCGAGAGTTTGATACGGAGATTGGGGATTTTTTTTTTCCAGACTGCTTCTTTTGTTTTTCCTAGTTGGCATACTGCAAGTTTTCATTGATTACTATTACTACATGGCCCGTGCAATGTACGAAAAAATGATACTACGATTTTATTATAAATTAAATATATAAAGAACATTAATCATGATTTACCTACTGTTTTCAAAATATAATCGGATCGGACATTCTAACCGGATGGACCAGAAACCAGTTTATCGACTGATCCAGATCGATTGAATAAAATGTTTCTTAGCAAATAAGTACACCAACCACTGGTACGAGAATTTTTAAATAAATTTTTTTAATATTTCAAATTATTTTTAATATAAATAAAAACATATTTTAAAAAACATGGAGAATTAAAAAGTTTTTATCAATTATTTTAAACATTTAAAAGTTTTAAATTGTTCAGATGTTTACTCAATAATTTTTGTATCAATTTAATATTTTTTTTATATAAATGTATAACAAAAACTAATATATATATATATATATACACACACACACAATGAGAACACATTCTTAAAGTGAGTATGTGAGATTCAATCTTAGCCATTAGATTGATATCAAGATGTGGCCAAGATTTAACTCTTTTTTTAGATAATAATTATTTATTTTTTATTTTAATTATTTAAATATTATTTTGACCATTGACCGTTGACTCCAACGTTAACGTCGACTCCCGGCGTTGACTTCCGACAAGACTCGTTGACTTACGACGTTGATCCGTTGACCTTAGTATGCATTTTGTATGAAGTAAATATGCATTCAACACTATCAATTAATATGAAATAAATATGCATTTGGTATGAATTGCATATGCAATCTTTATGAACTAAATATGTACCAATAACATTAACTACGTTTACGAGGTAAATATGTACCAATAACACTAATTAAGTTTGCACTTTTTGTGAACTAAATATGTACATATATATGTTTAACTTAAATATAACAAATAGAGTAAATAGCAGTTTTAGTTCTATATGTTTCACTACCCTAACTATTTTTCCACTTCGAGTTGTTTTATTTATTTTTGTCCCTTATATTTGTAATAGGGGTGGGCACGGTCCGAGACGGTCCGGGACGGTCCGGGACGGTCCGGGATTTGACCTATCCCGGTACCTGTCCCAGTTTTTTGAACCGGTCCGGAACGACACCCCATCCCAAACGGATCGGTATCAATCGGGACCGGGACAAAACGGTTCGGGACCGGGACAAAACGGGAAAAAAAAATGTTCAAACTTCAAACGGGTAAAATCCTTATCGACTCCTTTTCTTTATGATAATTGTCGGTGAAATTATGCTTTATAGTTAAATATCGTATAGCGCTGGATTTTAAGAACATGCAACAGAGATTACAGTTTATAGTGTGGATTGATTTTGGGAGATTATTTTAGTTGAAGCTCTGTTGAAATAGAAACAAATAAAGTTGGGCTTTTTTTATAATTAAATATCATATAGCAATGGAGATGGAGAAGAGAATGGGAATTTGGGATTTTGTACTCTATACTTGTGCCCGTAAATATTAAATGGGTATGTTAATGTTTATTGTTTAATTTTTTTTATTTTCTATTGGGCCAAGTGTTTGTTAAGTGAATTGGGCTTTCATTAATAATAATAAAAAAAAAAAAAAAACCTGTTAAGATTGAATTGAAATTTGAAACAGAAACAGAAACACAAGTTGAAAAATAATTAAATATAATACTAACATAAATATAAATTAATGTATAATATATATATATATATA